TTGCTTAGTTTTGTCTTCGAAAAAGAAAAAAAAAAAGAACAAAAAGAAGAGACTTTTTAAAACTGCGCAAGACCATCGCTATTGCAATCAGCTTCCGTTCGGCCGCCGTTGGAGTTCCGGAGGGTTCGGGCATCGCTTCCTTTTTACGTTTTAGCCGTTTAAGCGGATATTTTAGATATTTTACTTACGAATACTGTGTTCAGTAATAGCAGGCGATTACTGAGAGCTGTGAGACACAGCGTCGCAAGTGGCGGACAGTCACGGCCGACTGGTGCAAGCGAAGGTGAGGAAGTTCCTTTTGTTTCTGCAAAGTGCGCCGCTGTTTCAAATTTTGTCTAGTACCGTGTGCTTGCTAAGCTATGCTTGACTCTCACTATGCTCTACCCGGTTTTATTTCGTTGTTTGAAAAGAGCCTATCTTCAAAATATATGGCTCTCTCCGCAGAGTGAGAAAGATTCGCGTGCGGCGGAACCGAGGGCCAGCCGAGGGCCTGTCCTGGGCGCCGTCCCTACGACGGTCGCCCGACGACGCTTTTGCGGAGCGTTCAAGTACAGTCTGACGGCAGTTCAAGCAATCACAGGTCATGCTAGTTCTGACGTGTGGTCCCAACAGTCTCTCGCCAACGATTTGTTTCATAAAGCGGGAGCGAGAAAAACGCTACAAGAGCGAGCAGCATGATTTCTTGCCCGTGCTGATGCCTGTGCCGTAGAGACGGGCGATCTCTTTGCGTATGCCGAAGCGGCACGCTTTCCAAGTTTGCGATTGTGTGTTGTGAATAAAGTGAGTTTGGATGTCACGTTTTTTAGTGGCGGCGAAAGCCGCTACAAAAGGCAGAGCAGTTAGAGAAAGCAAAAGCATGAAAAAATGTTGAAAGGACCTGAATATTCGATGGAGTTGAAATACTATACCAACGTACCAACTCGCCCAGTTATTCTTTGTCAAAGAATTATAGCCAATACTAATAAATTAAATTAATGCCAACTTTTAATTGATTAGAAATTTATAATTGATGCAGTACAGCCCTACCCTGCTCTACTGCGTTTATGATATCAGATAACGTGTAAATATATAGGATAGTTCATAGCAACCATTTATGTCCGACCCATTATATTGAATCTTTTCTCTAAAAGCTTGAAGTTCTATAGAAAAAAAGTACTTATCATAAATTAAGCCGCACCACTGAATGTGTAATAGCGTATGACTTGGTATGTGTGTTCACAGCAAAAGAAAAGGAGGCATTAAGAAAATTCCAATCGTTTTGTTTGCTCTGTATTAGAGCTTCTTTCAGGTATCAGGCTTTGCAACGATATTGTCCGATTTTCCTCGCCCTTTTGTCAGGATGAAGTTGTTACTGTCTTGCCTTCCTCACAAAGTGGTCCTTTGAGCGAATTATGTGATGTTATATCATAGAGTGGCATAGGGTAATTTTCTCTTATCTTTTTACGCAGGATGTAATGGCATACCATCATCACAAAGGAGAGTGTACAGTGAGGCAGGCTCGGAAACTTGAATAAAGTGATAAGTAAGATTTCGATTTCTGTCTTATCAATTACGCGAACACTGATCATAATGTTTGTATGCCACACATACATACTTTCAGTTCAAAAATGCAATGCACCTCTTCTTTATGGCTTTTCTCACACAGTTTCAGAAGACGCCGGTACGTCATTCTCACGAGGAATAGAGCTGGCAAAGATTTCCTCGTTAATTTCCTGACTCATTTTTAAGAGTGCACCTCCCGATGGCGCCTCTGCATTATCATCATCAGTTGAGTGTCAACGGCGTTTATTAACATTTCACGAGAATGGAGCTGTATGACATGAAATTTCACAGATTGGAATACAGCCGTTCAAAGAAACACATTTGAAAAGTCGGCTTTTTAAAAACAGGCGCCGATTTTTCTGGTCAATTTGAGACCGTTCTTTCCATTCAGAACGCCCGACATACACGGCGTCCCAGATTAACTTGCACCATACTTAAAAAAACACCGGAGGGCTCTGCAGGAGTGAAATCAACTGTCGTTAGCAAGTGTCTTGAGAAAGTGCACAGATTTTTTTTTTTTTTTGATGTGCCTGGTTATGTAAATAACTAGGATTAATGAGCTAACCTTTCAAATATTCTTTTAAGGGCCAAGATATCAATTGTAAAGTTGCAGGGCGCATTGAGAAACACCCAATTAAAGTGTTTGAAACATAATATGTTTTCGTGCTTTTTTCCGGCCTTCAAAGAACGCACATTCGTGGCGCGCTCGCACGCCGTGATCGGTGAAGCGAGTTGTCACGGGGTATTTTTTTTTTTTTGTATTTCGCGGGCCTTTTTTTGAAGGCTAGGAAAAAGGAGCATGCAAAGTGCACCTTGTTGAAGATGGTTTAATTGGGTGTTTCTTAACGCGCTCTACAACTTTCCATTTCACACCTTTTAAACGAAGATTTCAAAAGTTAGCTTGTTACTCTTAAATAAATAAATAGGCGCACTAAAACAATTTCGTACACTTTCGCAAGAGATTTTCTAACAGCGTACAGTTGGTTTCACTCCCGCAAAATGCTCCGTTTTTTTTTTTTTTTTTTTTTTTTTTTTAAAGTTTGGTGCAAGTTATCTGGGACACTCCGCATATATGTACTGGTAGTGTACATTTAATACACTAAAAACATACATGAAGTGTACTAAACGTGCACTTACAGTATACTAAAAGTACACTCGAGGTGCACTTATGGTATACTACATATGTGCTTGGGGTGTACTAAAGGTGTATTATTTTGTTTCATAAAAGTGTGAAACTAGTACGATTTCAGTACATACCCTAAGTTCACTATTAGTATACTTTCAGTATACTGATTTTGAACGACTTTTCGCTAAGGGAGTGCCACTTTTTCGGAGTAGTCTCTATGGCAGTTTCCGAACTGATTGGTTCTAGTAACGTTGGCCGGAGGTGCAATCGGTGCTAGTGTATACGCGACTTCCGGGACGCAAGTTGAAGCAGAAAGACACCAGTCTACTTTTACGGTGTTCCTGTACATTTCTATGGGAAACCGCGCTTGCAATTTTTGTATCCTCGCCGGAAAGCAACTTGGAACACTCAATTGCTGATTGGGTCTTACCGAATAGTATGCACTATCGGGGGAAAATAAAATACGAACAGAGGAGCGCGTGGCTCTCGGTACAAGCTGCGCCGCCTGGAAGTGAATCGAGGAGCGAGGGTGTGTAGAATTGCGTCTCTTGGTGCGCTGAAAGCTATCAGCGCCATAGTTGCTCGCACGACGCGGTCGGCGCGGGGAAGCTCGCCGCTTGTAGCAGCTTTCGTTCGCGCTCGCGCTCCTCTGTTAATTTTTCGTTTTTTCCTGATAGTACGTTTATTAACATTGTAAAAGTGTAATTGCTTCATTTACGGCATTTTTCTTCGTCATTGAGCGATGTTTAACTGCGCTATATTTGAGGTCCAAACCTGTGTTCCACAGCAGGTGTGTAAAAACAAGCGACGATTCTAACCAAAATGAAAAGGAATATAGAGTGTGCTCAAGGTTCGCCAGCATTCCGGTGACGCTTATAAATTGCTAAAATGCCAGATTTGTCACTATCTGAAAATGACAAGTCTTGCATCTTTACGAGCAGGTAAAAACATTAAAAAACGTTTTGTGGGTTATGTTTTCTATTATGGCCAGCTTTAATAAAGGACTTGTTCTCAAAGATTTCGAGCGTGTGGGTGATGTTTTGAACGCAGAACAAGCATCTTCGCACAGATCATAAAGAATAAAGCAGAACTTATTGAAAATCGAACTATATTACGTGGGCGTCAATTTATATTCATCGTACACCAATAGGGAGTTATTGATCCAGTGTAACTCTCGTAGTTCTTGCCACCTCTCTTGCTTTTACAAAGGCCCCTCGTTCGTTTGGCACGAACGAGGCCCCCCCCCCCCCCCCCCCCCCCCCCCTTATGCCGAGGAACGCCAACGTGGTTCGCGCTAACGGTGTCCGACAGTGCACATAACTAACTACATGTACAAAGCCGTTTTAGCAGCGTCTTCAATGCAATAAATTTGAAAGAAAAACGCCGCAACGAACCAATTTTTTCGTCTGCCCGACTAAGAGATGTCCTAGGCTTCCTAGTACGTACGAAATATTTGGGAAATTTGCTCTGATGATCGAGCGCAGGGACAAAATGCACTAACTTGTTACAGCGGAGCTGTCAAAGGCTAGTTTCCCCAGCATCGTGTCCGCGGGCAAACAAGCGTCGACACAAGACTTTGGACAGCTACCGCCATGTATGAACGACGGTAGCAACCAGACAACCGGCTGGCCGGTTGTCTGGTTACCACCGTCATTCTAATCTTATAAAAAGCCAAAGTGATCGCATGCGTACGCCTCCCGACTTCATATCAAACGCGAAATCAATGTCTCAGACCCTTCCCCTCCTTTGCGTCAATATGAGCGAAGGCAACGAACCGGGAGGATGAGGCGCATCGGAGTTCCGGAATTCTGGTACGCTGAACGAAACTGTTAGGGCAAACACGACTTCGGCGCTTTTCGAATTTCAATTCGAAGGGGTATTGGGGTGCATCAAAATTTAACTCTTGGGTCAGTCCCCAAACTGAACAGTTTCCATTTCCATTGTAGTTCTAATGACAGTTCTTCAATACAAGAAGAAAAAAAAAAAAATAAGGCGGTGGAGTGTTTGCGTTAACAGGTTCGCAGAATGTGGAGGGATTGGCTGTATTAAGGTGACTTTAGACAGTATGGAGTAGAATGGAACTAAAATGTTGAAGCACAAAACTTAAAAGAGATGCCGGGTGAGACGTAGGCTTGTCTAAGGGGCAAGCCGCTACCCGGGGGCAGGATTTGAAATATATGTATTAAAACATTGAGTATTTTGCATTTAACTACATATTACTAAATGCAGTTGTCGATCACACATGTATAAATACTAAGTCGGTTTCGTTTGCACAAAGCACTGATTTATTACTGTTATCAGCCCTTTCCGAAAGTAAATTTCACACCCTTACCTGGTGGACACCTGGGAGTCGGTTTCCAAAAACCTTCCAAGCAATGTATTCTGTAACTTGTTCGATCACCGCGACAGTGGAAGTAAATGAAGGTGCCGTTGGCAAACTCTCTGTAGAGTTGTATCTGAAATAAAGATAGTTCAAGATCAAATAGGCCTTCTGGAATTATATTTTTTTTTTATTTTATGCACCGAAACCGGTTGGCTGGTGTGTTTTTTTAGTTTTTATTATACAATGCTGAATAACAAAAGGTACAACGCGAGATCCCGTTAGTGTGCTAACGCTTCAATGTAAAACAACTTTGCACGAAATGCAATTTTATAAATAGGTATCAATTCTTTTCCTTAATAATCGGCTCATTGGGTTCTAAAATTCTGCCGTATAATGAATCCGTAATTCTTTAGTGGCCCTTTAGCTACATGGCTTCCGCAGTCCTTCTTTCGCATCGAACCTCAGATAATCTACGCGGTACTTGTAGATTACCTGTCCCCCAAGCTGGTTTTCCTTTGCAACACCATAACAAAAAAGAAGCGCTCTAAAAATACGTATAAGCTGCATTCCTGTACTACTCTATAATAAATAATGTAAAGTAGAGCCTCAGAAAAAGTTTTAAAATCCAGGGGAACTTTTCCCACCTCTCTCCACTTCAGATATGCGGGCGCCGGAGAGGAAGCAAGACCTCCCGGGTAAGAAAATGCTTCCTGCGTCACTAAACAAGGCCTGACACAGATTGGACACGATTTCTGCGTTAGCGTTCTCTTCACTGATTGGACACGACGTCTTGCCGAATGCTGACGCAGCAGTCGCGTCCAATCTGTGTCGGGCCTTTTCTAGTGACGAGGAAAGCACTTTCTTATCTCGTAGGGGTTGGAGGAAGTCGTCGCCTTTTCATCGTTTGCTCTTCTAAAGCGGAAAGAGGTAGGAGGAGTTTCCCGTGAACAACATCCAACCTGTCACCGACCACAGAGCTTTCCAGCTCTTATCACTCAGGCGAGATATGCTGAGTCACTGGGACACATGCGTGGCGTCTCCTATTTCGTGGAAGAAAGTTACTGCGCACGCTAACAGCGCCTTCCACAGCCGAGCAAACAAAGATGGCGGCGCAGAAGGCGAGAATACGCTCCGTGCATGCTGATATATGGTGCCACCATCTCTCGCGCCATCAGCACCTCCTGTGGTTGGTTTAAGAACTAATGGTGTGTTCCCATGCGGAAGCGGGGGCTTATGGGACTGCGGGAGGAACCATGCGGAGCGCTTTTCCGACTCACCAGAATAAATGACGCTGAAATATATTTGAAAGCAAAGCGTCTCAGGCTAGGCCTAAAGCAGCTTTATGCTGGCAGTCACCTGTTTGTTTGTTTTTTCTAGAAAAGTGGATGATTTACGCCGCGGCCTGTAGCGGGTTGGCGAAGTCGTGGAGAATTGTTTCACGCAGGGGATTCTACGACGACCGTTTGCATTGTTGTTTTTTTTGTTCTTCTCTTAAGCGTGACGATTTACCCAGCGAAATTTTTAAGCCGCTTCGTCCTTGTAGGGAGTACAGTTTTCGACTCTTTTTAATCCTTCGCCGCGCCTTCTGCATCAAAGATGAAGATGATGTGTCTCCAGAGTTCCAAATCTCGTTGCGGTAAGTGGTGCGGGACGTCCTGAAATAGTCTACAGATACTTCCTAACCTGGGAGGCGAATCGCAGTCTCAAAGCCAACGTCCATGACTGGCACAACGCGGTATCGCGTTGGCGATTTTGTCCGCAGCTGCGTCCTGAGTCTGGGTAACGCAATCATTGCGGCCGTCGTCGACGAGCCAAATAGAACCAACGAGCTTCTTGATTTCTCCTTTATGCTTCTTGATTTGTGTAACGAACCAATAACCACGAACAAACGCGAACAAGGCAAAACGTGCGTTTAGAATTTATTAAAAAAAAAAAAAAAAGGTGCAGACGTCTTATCCGTCAGGTTATCTTATCCACGGCAGAAAAAGAATGTACACATTTCACATATTTCGGGGGTTTCAAGACAAATTTCAGGGTTTATGTTTTTTGGTCTATAGTGCCGCAGTCACGTTATGCTTCGTGGCGTCAGGTTACCTTTCTTTTTGATAAAGTAGAAAAAACTCTAGTGATCTAAGCATGGTGGTGACGCTCATTTCGTTCCCCGCGAAGTAGGCACTTTAGGACTTGTCCGTTAACGAACTGCCACTAGGGCTTTGAACCAAAGCGATGCCGATGCCAGCTACAGGCAAATCTGCATCGTGGGGCCGGGTAAAGATTTAAGAAAGGACGACGTGAATGGAGCTGTCATGGCGAGTCACACCGTGGTACCCCTGTGATTCATTGCCGTCGAAGCTCCGCCGGCTCGACTTCCTACGACTTGCGTGGAAAGCGCTACAATTTCCCAGAAGATAGCCTCTTCAGCTTTATTCATTCAGCCGTTGAGGAAGTCGTGCACGCAACACAAGAAAATCAGCGGCTATATTTTTTTTCTTCTTTGCCTGCAATGCTATGGGCACCGTAACAAGGCTTTGAAAACGCTGGATCGCCCGCGGAAACGGAGCGCCTGGGACATACCAATAGTTCCTATTTTGACTGCCAGATGGCGCAACGAATTTTTTTTTTTTAAACCACCAGTGCAAGGAGCGTATTGCAAAGGTCTGGGAAGCCCAGAATAAGCGTTCTGCGTCCATTAACTCCGAAGCGCAGAGTGCGATTCTTACCTCGGAGGAGTTGTTATTCACGTCACTCAGATAAACTGCGTTCTCAATGGGCAAAACCTTACATTTCGGGTTTGAAGGATCTTCGAGGCATCCAGAAAAGAAACGATGATAGGTATTTTAGAGTATGCATTGATATACAGTCATATGTCTCGTTAATCTGGACCCTTTCAATATGGATACCCCGCTATAAGGACACTACTTTCGGGGACAAGCTAAAAAAATACATGCAGTTTTGTCTCGTTAATATAAACAACTCACATGATGGATGGTATTTTGGGGGAACGGAGGCGTCCCTATTAACGAGACATCACTGTAATACAAACAAACTTGTGCCGTGCTTGACGGGTTATCTTCCAAGAGAAACCGATGGAATTCATTACTGCCACTAAAACTGTATGTAATTTCAAACCACCGTCGCCGTTAAAAGAAAAAAAAAAAAAGTAAGACGCGTTTTAAATGTTTTTGAGGATGAGAGATTCTCAATTGTTTATAGATATTCCCAAAAAGGCTCAGATCAATGTGCGGATGTAATGATTGAGGACTAACCAGAAATCACTGTAACCACAAATAACTAGCACTGCCCAAATCGCGTAACTGTTCATCAAACAAACAGCATAACTTACAAAGAGTTGACACCCAAATTTTAATATAGTGGCAACACTTCTCATTATTATAGGCCATTGACCCCGTAAGTGATGACGTCACAACTTGGCGTCTGGGTCCAAACAAACCGTTGCTAGGGACGTTGCTATGGACAACTACATGGAGACTCCACACGAGGCTAGATTTTCGCTTATAAGTAATTAAATAATTTTTTGTAAGCAACCTAACTTCTTGATATCTAATTATAAAGATGTTCTTGTCATCTCAGCGTCGTATTGCAACGATGAAAGCCATTTATGAAGTGTTCCACTCCGCTTTGCTTTGGTAGCAGACGAGACGATAGATTTGCTGGCCTCTTTTGCAGCGAGCGTCTTCATTGAATTGCGTCGGTAAACGAGCAACACAAGCATCGCCATGGCCGCAGAGGCCTCCGCAATGTGCGTTTTTTTTTCTGTGAAGAACCCAGCTTAGTTCAGAGGGGCGAAAATTCCGCAAAATCAAACCACGTCATGCAGATAAGTTACGACGACGACCTGAAGTGCATTACCGACGTAGTGCAGGACAGCATGATAAACAAATCGTACGCCGTCGAGGTAAGTCGTTTGTTATTATTATTATTGAGGTTGTCAGGTTATTAAAATATTGCATGTCTATCGCAATTTCGCAATTTTTTTTTTCTTTTTTTTTTTTGTATACATTAAATTTAGTGGATGTGCTATTTCGGTGAAGATCTCCATCGAACCCGCGATGAGAGTACAATCTGTAATAAACTCACCTTATGTTTTTTTATCCAGTTCTTTCGCGTTTTTTGGGGGGTTTTGCGAAAATCTGAAGAAACTGCAAGAATCTTTCTCCACGCGATGGTTACAATCAGACACGAAGCACCCTCCCGTAGCGCGAGTCCGGAAACAAAATTGGGATTTCTACCGATCGCCTGAAGTGCTTTTCTCACGGGTGCATTGCGATCTTTTAGCAGGCGAGCATCTCGATCGACGCCCGGACTTTCGATAAACCATATTTTGCATCGCACCCCACTATGAATTCTTATAGGTGTCTGAAACTCATTATATTTCAAACAAATGTAATATCAGAATATCGTCTTTATTCACCCGATTCAGACGCCGGCGCCCAATTCACACGCCCGCCGGCTTGGCCGGCGGGCGTGTGGCAGACGGCATTCTTCTTGCATTCGTCGTCTGCTGCAGGCATCCTGAGGACCGGAAGTTGCAGTCGTAAATATTTCAGAAACAAGCGATTACCGGCACACTTCTGTCGCAACGTATATGACATTCAAGCTTTCTATATCTGTGATTTTTAGAAGTTTAAATCCTACTCCCGATTTTTGAACGGTCGGGTTTTCGTAGCGACACCTCGTCACATGTATTTGTCCATAACAACGACCCTAGCAACGGTTTGTTTGGACCCATGACGTCACACTTACGGAGTCAATTGCCGAGTACAAAAACAAATATCAGTCAATATCAATATTTAGTGACTCTGAGCCATTTGCAAATCAACACAGAAAGTTAAGAACATATATATATATATATATATATATATATATATATATATATATATATATATATATATATATATATATAGAGAGAGAGAGAGAGAGAGAGAGAGAGATAAAGATATTAAAAAATCTTATCTTAATATATTTTCATGCGTTTTACAAGTTTAGAGAAGGAAACTGCTTATTAAACTGGCTGTGTTCAGAATACAAAAAGAAGAGGTCAGCCGATGTCTATATTTGTTTATTTTCAATCTACGGGCAATCAATCAGTAGCAAAAATCAAAGGAAATTAAACGATCGACCTCAAATATTTCGTAAGTTGAGTTATTTGTCTTGATATGCGAACGGAAAAGGAAACAAGGGACACACAAAAATACGTGTCTGACGTGTTTTTGCCTGTTCCTTGTTTCCTTTTCCGTTCGCACCAACAGGCTCTCCTAATTCTATCTAAATTATTTGACCCGTTTGGAGTCGAATATAATTATTATTTTAATGACCGTCACCCACTTGAATTGCATACAGGGTATTTAATTTGATTTCGAACAGATTCTTCAAGGGGGTGAGGGTTAGGCGAGTGCCGTCTTTATTATGCATTTATGAGGCTCGGCGGACGTTAGATGATGAGATAATCGTCACGATAAGTTGGCTAACTAAGATATGCTATATAAATTTATAATTATTGGTTTTAGAGGTTATGCTGTAATGGAAGTATTGACGGCAGTTACTATTGGAGGTCAGTCTAATATAAACATTTGCGGAAAGATAATAATTTTTAGAATATTAATATTATTTTTTGCGCTCTTTCACCCGATCTGTATTTATTGCGCGCAAAGAAGTGCTCCGCAACCCCTGCCCCCTACGACGCTTAGAAAAGTGACGTGTCTCAGTCACGTGGTCAATTCTGTAGCCGGAGAAACCACCAAGAACACGCTGCCGAGATAGTGGCGACATGATTCAAATGGTTACGTCACTCTTCCGAGCGTCATTGTGAGCAAAGCTTGCAGACAACGTTACTAGATTACCTCAGTTGTGGAACTCCCACGGGAGGGGGTACTCCCCCTCACTCACTTCAGTCCGCCTCCCGTCGTTCGAAGCGCCATCTAGATTTTCGTTTCATAACTACGCGTTCCATAGAGCAAAACTGTAACGCCATCTAGACGCCGTGCTTCAAAACGTACGCATCCCATAGAATACACTTGCAGCTACCAAAGCAGCCGTTCGGCGCGTTGAACGACGGAAGGCGACTCGTGGTGAGTCAGGAGAGGGGTACTGCTCGTGCATGCAGCTTCTATGGGCAGTTCTGTGACTGAGCTAATCTAATAACGTTGCATGTCGAAGAGCTCTTTTTGAGCGCCATTTTAAATCGTGCGAAAAATCTCCATATTTGATCGATACCCGCAAAACCCTTATTTTCTCGCAAATTCTTGAAACTGGTCTGGCCTCCAATAGTAATTTCCGTCAATACTGCAATTCAAGCGTGACACCTAAAAACAAAAATAAAACGTTTATTAAAACTTATTTTATTAAATACAAACTCATAATGACGACTATCTTGTCATCTAACGTCTGTCGTGTCTGATAGATGCATGGTGAAAACCGAACTTCGTCTAACTCTCATACCCCGTTCGTCTATATATTTTCGAATTGAAATTTTCTCAACAGCCTGTGTAATCAAATAGCTTGTGTCCATAGTCACTGGTAGTGCTTCATGGCATAGTTCGTGGCTATTGATTTACTACAATCTGAATATGAGACGAAATTGCCCAGGGTAGCAAGCTTACTGCTTTGTAAAGCAATTATCAGAGAAGCTAAAAATAACTTGTGCTGTCATAGAAATGTTTGCAGTAGTTTCTGATACGTGAACAAATCTTAATAGTCTGAGTAAAGTCCACGGTGGTCAAACTTCACAACTCAGATCGAATTTCTGGCGTATTCTATGGCTTGGCACTTCCGATTGTGTTTCTAAACAGCTGCAATTTTTTTATTTCTTAAGACAGTTTCACTCATCGCAAGAAATGTGCTACCACATGGATACACATTTTTTTTTAAACAAATCACACATTAAGTTTCAAATGAAAGCATTGTAAAATATTTGAAATGTGGTTAAAATATTGGAATAATATTTGTAGTTCCGGTTTCAACTAAAATACTCCAATGTAGGCAACGTCCACTCCACTCCAATTTCGACAACGTCAATTGTAAATGGGATTAGGTCGGCCGTTTTGAATAGATAAGATCGAACAACTATGTCAGGTGACCATTTCTAATTTTGATAAAAAAATATTTTGCTGCTCCATGCCCAGAAGAAAATATTAATCCCAACTCTTGTTTTGAAAAAAAAAAAATGTCTTTGAGAAAAAAGAATTATGACCCCCCTCTTAGTCACGTGCGTGTTTTGCGTATCGCGCGATTTGTGCATTTCGGACGCCGCCTCCAAAAGAAAACTGTTCTAGCTACGGTTCAAGAAATATTTACTAACAAAGGAGGCATAAGAAAGAATTGACAAAAAGTTTTCATCACCATATATTAGCGTCGTTATTTTGAGAAACAAAATCCCAAACACCGCAGATTGCGCAATAACGCTCTGGATTACAGATTTCTTTTCTCCCTATCTATAAAAGCTAAGGCCTTCAAACACTGCCAGTGTTATTCTGGTTAGCGAGAAAAATTTACAAGGATTGCTCACACAGCGGCATTTAACTATATATGCATTATTTTGGAAATCATTAAAAAAGGTCATCTTTAATATTCTTTAAACTGTCCGAAATTAACGTTTATATTATTTACTAACAGAACCTGCAAAAACATAATGCAATATTTGCGTGGCTTTTAAGCTATAAAGCAAGAAATATGGCGAAATTGACGCGCTTGCCATAAATGGGGCGAGCACATACCCAGTCTTCGCAATTTCATTATTAAAAAAAAAATAAAAAAATAAAAAAGCTACGGGGCGGACAGAAA